TATATACCCAAAGGGTTATAAATCATGCTGCTATAAAGACACATGCACACGTATGTTTATTGTGGCACTATTCACAATAGCAAAGACTTGGAACGAACCCAAATGTCCATCAGTGCTAAACTGGATTAAGAAAGTGTGGCACATATACACTATGGAATACTATGAAGCCATAAAAAAGGATGAGTTCATGCCCTTTGTAGGGACATAAATGAAGCTGGAAACCATCATTCTGAGCAAAGTATCACAAGGACAGAAAACCAAACACCCCATGTTCTCACTCATAGAGGGGAATTGAACAATGAGATCACTTGGACACAGGTTGGGGAACATCATACACCAGGGCCTGTCGTGGGGTGGGAGGAGTGCGAAGGGATAGCATTAGGAGATGTACCTAATGTAAATGACGAGTTAATGGGTGCAGTACACCAACATGGCACATGTATACATATGTAACAAACCTGCACATTGTGCACATGTACCCTAAAACTTAAAGTATAATTTAAAAATATATATACGGAGAGTGGTTTACTAATTTGTAGAGTAAAATCTGAATGCTACCAAATAATAAAACAGATCATTTGACACTTAATAGTAGAGACGGCTATGCTAAGGTCAGTATGAGATAAAATTGGCCAGATAATGTTGTAACTGACTTCTAGAACCCCAAAATCATGTCTGGCTCTTTTGCTGAAAGACTAATGTGAGATAGTATCTAAGAAACAGCATCAGTGTGTTTTAAGTGGGTCATATCATAGAGGAAGATTTTCACTATGCCTCCGTTTATTGTTAAATTAGCACATTTTTAATATGTGCCTTTTGTTAAAACTCCATAGTGCTAGGATCTCCACTAGGACAGCTGCCAAATAGTTAAAGGTTTTCTTAGTTCTCTGTCCACCCTGGCTTGCCTTACCATTTACCTTTTCTACCTAGCTAATGCTACCCAAGACTTACCCCTGACAACCCTCCATCTTCATTGAAACTTATTTATGCTTACCTCTTCTTCCTTGGTGTCCTCTCTGTGCTTTCTGAAGTCTCTACTCAGAAATTATTTTTAAAATTAATCTGGGCTACAGGAGTTTGAGGCCAGCCTGAGCAACATAGTGAGACCCTGTCTCTACAAAAAAATTAACTGGGCACAGCCAGGCGCAGTGGCTCTCGCCTGTAATCCCAGCACTTTGATAGGCTGCGGCGAGCGGATCACGAGGTCAGGAGATCAAGACCATCTTGGCTAACATGGTGAAACCCTGTCTCTACTAAAAATACAAAAAATTAGCCGGGCGTGGTGGCACGCACCTGTAGTCCCAGCTACTCAGGAGGCTGAGGCAGGAGAATTGCTTGAACCCGGAAAACGGAGGTTGCAGTTAGCTGAGATTGTGCCATTACACTCCAGCTTGGGCAACAAGAGCGAAACTCCGTCTCAAAAAAAAAAAAAAAATTAGCCGGGCATGGTGGTGCACACCCTTAGTCCCAGCTACTTGGGAAACTCAGGTGGGAGGATCATTTGAGCCCAGGAAGTTGAGGCTGCAGTGAGAATGATTGTGCCACTGCACTCCCAGAGGCCTGGGTGATAGAATGATTCCCTGTCTCAAAAAATAAAAAAATAAAAAATAAAGAAAAAGAAAAATTTGGGCTACTGTGGAAGCAGGTAACTTTGAGGCAATGTTCATTTTTTAAAAACAGTGACTGTCTAGAAACGTATTTCTCCTGCCCTTATCTTTCTTTTTCTTTCTTGCCCCCAACTTTTCAAGGTTCCAGTGATGAGAATTTCAGATTAGGAAGGTAGCAAGGTAATAGGGGATTTGGGGGATGGTAATGTCCTTGAAGCATCCCTTATGTGATTTTCTTTCTTTCTTTTCTTTCTTTCTTTTCTTTTCTTTCTTTCGACAGAGTCTTGCTCTGTCGCCCAGGCTGGAATGCAGTGGCGCTATCTGGGCTCACTGCAAACTCCGAACTCAGCCTCCTGGGTTCACGCCATTGTCCTGCCTCAGCCTCCCAAGTAACTGGGACTACAGGTGCCCGCCACAATGCCCGGCTAATTTTTTTGTATTTTTAATAGAGACAGGGTTTCACCGTGTTAGCCAGGATGGTCTCGATCTCCTGACCTCAAGATCCACCTGCCTCAGCCTCCCAAAGTGCTAGGATTACCGGTGTGGGCCACCACTCCCAGCCATGATTATCTTCTTGATGATGTTCTTGACAACCCACATATTATGGGGTCTTCGTGAATGTAGGCAGTAAGGAACCTTTGAATAGTGATTGTACATACAGTTTTTCAGAGCTGGTGTTTAGTAACAATGTTTTTCATTCTAATATTACATTATTCTTTTTATCATTTAGGTCTTTATCCATCAGTGTTTTTAGAGAACTACTGCCCTTGACCACAAACTGATAAATACTTGGTACTGCCCCCCATCTCACTGTTATGTTTACTTTGTCTTAAATATCTCTTTTTTTTTCCAGGCAGCTAGTACACCACTGAATCCTTTAAGTTTTCAATGTGAATTTGTAAAACTCAGGATTGACCTTCTACAAGCCTTCTCTCAACTTATCTGTACTTGTAATAGCCTGAAGACAAGCCCTCCACCTGCAATTGCCACAACAATTGCCATGACCTTAGGAAATGACCTTCAGAGGTGTGGTCGCATCTCCAATCAGGCATGTCTTAACTTTCAGTGCATTTTTTATTTACACTTTAGAGGTTTTTGAAGTTATAAGATGAAAAGTTGTGAAATTTAAAATCAGTGGTTTGACTCAGACATTATCATAAATGTTTATTAACTCAACTGTCTAGCTGAAAATAGGCTGATGTGTTATTAGAATGATAAAGTGATTGATGGTATCTCAATGGGTGCTACATATTTATATAAAGAGAAAGGACATAGATTTTTTTTTAAAAAACTTGAGAATGTTTATAACTAAATTATTTTAGTGGAACTTGAAGAAGCTAAAATACAAATGTTTTTGTTTCTATATGTCATATATAATAATCTTGTGAACATGTATAATTTCATTTGCCATTTTTGTTTTTATTTAACAAAATTTATGAAAATGAATGGAATGACAGTGAAAAGACTGCAGTATTTTTTTGAGTTATTGTTTGAAGATGCTTTTTTATGTTTTGATTTTTGTGTTGTTTATACGATAATGAAAGCATGTTTATTTGTCATAATTGATTTTTTTTATAGATGAAACAGTCCATGGAAGAATTTCGAAGCCTTGCTTCTCGATATGGGGATCTTTACCAGGCATCTTTTGATGCTGACTCAGCAACTTTAAGGAATGTTGAACTGTATCCCAAGCTTGCCCTAGTATTTCTTCTTCTTTTTGGAAGTATTCTTTTAAATATAGACTACCTCAGATAATGCTTATCTACAAAATACATGTTAGATAACCCTACAAATTTATTATATAGTTTCCCCTTTAAAATATATAAGCAGAATAATCTTACTTTTTAACTTTACCCAGGTGATTTTAACAAAAAATGGTGATTCAAAGGTGTCTTTTTTTTTTTTATATCCAGAAAGAGCATCCAAAGCAACATCCAAAGCCAGTGTTGCTTACCTGTGCTCACTTGAGCTACAACAGACAGCACAACACATTTTCCCACCAAAGAACTTGTGTTTCACCTCACCTTTCTTTGTGGCTAACAGTCCTAGTTTTTATCACCTTTATTAATGATCTTTTCAGTAGCATTAGTTGTCACTTTTGTTTTGTTTTTGTTTTTGTTTTTGTTTTTGTTTTTTTTGAGATGGAGTCTCACTGTGTTGCCCAGGCTGGAGTGCAGTGGCATGATCTTGGCTCACTGCAACCTCTGCCTTTCTCCTGCCTCAGCCTCCCAAGTAGCTGGGATTACAGGCACGTGCCACCACAACCTGGCTAATTTTTATATTTTTAGTAGAGACAGGGTTTCACCATGTTGGCCAGGCTCGTCTCAAACTCCTAGGCTCAAGTGATCCACCTAAAAGTGCTGGCATTATAGGCGTGAGGCACCGTGCCCAGCCTAGTCGTCACTTTTAAACCCTTCCTAAGTTACCTCCATATTTTCTTATTAGCAACTTCACTTTTGAAAGGAAGGAATAGAAATTCTTTTTTTAAGTTGTAGTACTTACCAATCAGTAGTTCTTGGCATTTAGTTTACTGATTGAAACCCAGTGAATGCTGTGGGCCCTCTGTCCTGCAAAATGCATATATGCAGAGACACCCAAAATGTGCATATAAGTTTGGAGGGGGGTTGCTACACCTCTTGAGCCCTAGATTAGGAGCCTCTGGGATAAAGGCTCCTTAGACCACTGTGTGTTGTTTTTGTTTTTATTTTTTTAACTTGTATCAGTGAAACGTTTATTTGCTTGTCTCAGACTCTTATGAAAAACCCCTATATCTAAGACAGATAAAAACAGAGTTGCTGTAATTGAATCACGGGGTCTATCACTTGATTTCCCCTTCCCACAGTAGTAGCCTCCGAAGTACCTTTCTTGGAACAGAGTCTGAGGATCGCTATTATAGACAATGTATATCCCTTAAAAAGAAAAGGTAGAGCCCTAGACCATTCGAGTTGATAACATTATGATTACTTTCACTAGGCAATCAAATCTTGACCCGTTTAGTATTCAGGTAATATAAACCTATAGTGGGTTTCTTCTCTATTTTCATATGTAACCTTAACATCAATCCAGACAGCAGCAGAGCTGTTTACTGATATCTCATGCAATAGAAGCCCTGATTTTGGATCCAGAATCAGCAAGGTAATTCTAATATTAATAGTTGAAGTTACAGAACGCTTTCTATACATTGTCTTACCTAATCATCAGAATCATCAGAAGAGTATTTGGGAACAAGTATTATGGAAGTAAAAACAAAGAGGAAGAGTTCTTCCAGCATTTTCTCCGAGTTACATAACTAGTGACAAAACATGGATTTTCTGACTCTGTTATCTATTTGCCTCCTGCCTCCTGTTTTCAATAAGTTAACATGGAAAGATAACTGGGAAGAAATTCTTTGAATATGAACAGTTTCTTCTCGTATATTATAATTAAACTATGAAAAATTGAGTTAATGATACAATTAAACTTGAACTTGAGATTTTTTTTCCTTTGGCTTCTTAAACCAAAATATCCCTGATTTTGCTCTTTTAAATTTTCCCCTTCCCCCAGTAACTAATTAATTATTCAAAATAGTTGTTTTCATTAAAGAATGATTCCTTTTTCTTCCCATTATAGTATTCTCTTTTTGAATATGCATTTTCTTTCTTTTTTAACTTTTAAGTTCAGTGTTACATGTGCAGGTTTGTTATATAGGGAAACTCGTGTCACCAGGGTTTGTTGTACAAATCATTTCATTGCCCAGATTTTAAGCTTAGTACCCAATAGTTATTTTTCCTGGTCCTCTTTTTCTTCCCACCTTCCACCCTCACATAGGCCCCAGTGTGTGGTGTTCCCCTCTATGTTTTCATATGTTCTCATCATTTATCTCCCACTTCTAAATGAGAACGTGTGGTATTTGGTTTTCTGTTCCTGTGTTAGTTTGCTGAGGATAATAGCTTCCAGCTCCATCTATCTTCCTGCCAAGGACATGATCGTCTTTTTTTTTATGGCTGCATTGTATTTAGTGATGCGTATGTACCACGTTTTATTTATCAGGTCTGCCATTGATGGGCATTTAGGTTAATTCCATGTGTTTGCTATTGTGAATAGTGCTGCAGTGAACATACGTGTGCATGTGTCATTATGATAGAATTATTTCTATTCCTTTGGGTGTGTACACAGTATGGAATTGCTTGGCCGAATGGTAGTTCTGGTTTTAGCTTTTTGAGGAATCACCATGGTGCTTTCCACAATGGTTGAACTAATTTACACTCCCACCAACAGTGTATAAGGGTTCCCTTTTCTCTGCAACCTCACCAGCATCTGTTATTTTTTAATGATTTAATAATAGCCATTCTGACTGGCGTGAGATGGTATCTCATTGTGGTTTTGATTTGCATTTCTCTAATGATCAGTGATGTTGAGGTTTTTTTCATATGCTTGTTGGCCATGTGTATGTCTTCTTTTGAAAAGTGTTCATGTCCTTTGCCCACTTTTTAGTGGGCTTGTTTTTTTCTTGTAAATAATTTAAGTTCCTTATAGATGCTTGATATTAGACCTTTGTCAGATGCATAGTTAGCAAAAATTTTCGCCCATTCTGTAGGTTGTTTAATCTGTGGATAGTTTCTTTTGTTGTGCAGAAGCTCTTTAGTTTTATTAGATCCCATTTGTCAATTTTTGCTTTTGTTGCAATTGCTTTTGGCATCTTTGCATTGAAATCTTTACCCATGCCTAGTCCTGAAGGTTGTGTTCCAGGGTTCTATCATTTTAGGTTTTACATTTATGTCTTTAATCCATCTTGAGTTGATTTTTGTCTATGGTGTAAGGAAGGGGTCCAGTTTCCATCTTTTGCATATGACATCCAGTTATTCTAGCACCATTTATTGAAAAGGAAGTCCTTGCCCTATTGCTTGTTTTTGTCAGCTTTGTCAAAAATAAGATGGTTGTAGGTTTGCGTGGCCTTGTTTCTGGGCTCTCTATTCTATTCCATTGGTCTGTGTGTCTGTTTGTATACCAGTACCATGCTGTTTGGGTTACTGTAGCCCTGTAGTATAGTTTGAAGTTGGGTAGCCTGATGCCTCCAGCTTTACTCTTTTTGCTTAGGATTGCCTTGGCTGTTTGGGCTCTTTTTGGTTCCATATGAATTTTAAAATAGTTTCTTGTTCTGTGAAGAATGTCATTGGCAGTTTGATAGGAATAGCATTGAATCTATACATTGCTTTGGACAGTATGGCCATTTTAACAATATTGATTTCTTCTATTCATGAACATGGAATGTTTTTCCATTTGTTTGTCTTGTCTCTGATTTTGTTGAGCAGTGTTTTGCCTTCACCTCCCCAGTTAGCTGTATTCCTGGGTATTTTATTCTTTTTATGACAGTTGTGAATGGGAATGCACTCCTGATTTGGCTTTCAGCTCGACTGTTATTGGTGTATAGGTATACTAGTGACTTTTTATGTTGATTTTGTATCCTGGATCTTTGCTGAAGTTGTTTATCAGCTTAAGGAGCTTGTGGGCCAAGACTATGGGCTTTCCTGTATATAGTATAATGTCTGCACACAGGGATAGTTGGACTTCCTCTCTTCTTATTTGGATGCTCATTATTTCTTTCTCTCGCCTGATTGCTCTGGCCAGGATTTCCAATACTGTGTTGAATAGGAGTGGTGAGAGAGGGCATCCTTGTCTTATGCCAGTTTTCAGGGGGAATGCTTTCAGCTTTTGCCCATTCGGTATGAGGTTGGCTGTGGTTTTGTCATGGGTGGCTTTTATTATTTTGAGGTATGTTTCTTCAGTTCCTAGTTTATTCAGAGTTTAATATAATGGGATGTGGAATTTTATCAAAAAGCCTTTTCTGCATTGATTGAGATGATCATGTGGTTTTTGTCTCTAGTTCCATTTATGTGATGAATCACATTTATTGATTTGGATGTGTTGAACCAACCTTGCATCCCAGAGATAAAGCCTATTTGATCGTGGTGGATAAACTTTTTGATTTGTTGCTGGGTTCAGTTTGCCAGTATTTTTTGAGGATTTTTGCATCAATGTTCATCAGGGATATTGGCCTGAGGTTTTTGTTGTTTTATCCCCACCAGGTTTTGGTATCAGGGTGATGCTGGCCTTGTAGATGAGTTAGGGAGGAGTCCCTCCTCCTTAATTTTTTTGGAAAAGCTTCAGTAGGAATGGTGCCAACTCTTCTATGTATACCTGGTAGAGTTTGGCTGTGAATCCATTTTGTCCTGGGCTTTTTTTTGGTTGGTAGGCTATTTATTACTGATTCAATTTCAGAGCTCATTTTTGATCTCGTTGGGGATTCAGTTTCTTCCTGGTTCAGTCTTGGGAGAGTGTATATGTTCAGGAATTTATCCATTCCTTCCAGATTTTCTAGTTTGTGTCCATAGAGGTGTTCATATTTCTGTGGTGTCAATGATAATATCTTCTTTGTTGTTTCTAATTGTGTTTACTTGGATCTTCTCTCTTCTTTATTAGTCTTGCTAACTGTCTATCAAATAGATATTAATGTTTTTTTCAAAACACCAACTCCTGGATTTGTTGATCTTTCGAATGGCTTTTTGTGTGTCAGTCTCCAGTTCAGCTCTGATTTTGGTTATTTCTTGTCTTCCTGGTTTGGGGTTGACTTGCTCTTCATTCTCCAGTTCTTTTAGTTGTGATGTTATTTTGTAAATTGAGGTCTTTCTAACTTTTTGATGTAGGTGTTTAGTGCTGTAAATTTCCCTCTTAATACTAGCTGTGTTCCAGAGATTCTGGTATGTTGTTTCTTTGTTTTCATTAGTTTCAAAGAACTTCTTGATTTTTGCCTTAATTTCATTACTTGCCAAAAAGTCATTCAGGAGCAGGTTATTTAATTTCCGTGTAATCATATGGCTTTGAGCGATTTTCTTGGTATTGATTGCTAATTTTATTGTGCTGTGGTCCAAGAAAGTGGTTATTATTTTAGTTCTTTTGCATTTGCTGAAGATTGTATTGTGTCTAATTGTGTGGTTGATTTTAGAGTATATGCCATGAGGTGATGAGAAGAATGTATATTCTGTTGTTTTTGGATAGAGAATTCTGTAGATGTCTATCAGGTCCATTTGATCCAGTGCTGAGATTAGGTCCTGAGTATTTTTGTTAATTTTCTGCCTCAATGATCTAATACTGTCATAAAGTGTTGAATTCTCCCATCATTATTGTGTGGGAGTCTAAGTCTCTTTGAAGGTCTCTAAGCACTTGCTTTATGAATCTGGGTGCTCCTGTGTTGGGTACATATATATTTAGGATAGTTAGGTCTTGTTGAATTGAACCTTTTATCATTATGTAATACCCTTGTCTTTTTTTTTTTTTTTTTTTTTAATCTTTGTTGGTTTAAAGTCTGTTTTGTCTGATTTAGGATTGCAACTGCTGTTTTTTTCTATTTTTCATTTGCTTGGTAGATTTTTCTCTATCCCTTTATTTTGAGCCCATGGATGTAATTGCATGTGAGATGAGTCTCTTGGCATACCATTGAGTCTTGGTTCTTTATCCGCCTTGCCAATCTGTGCCTTGTAATTGGGACATTTAGCCAATTTACATTAAAGGTTAGTATTGATGTATGGATTTGATCCTGTCATGATAGCAGCTGGTTATCATGCAGGCTTGTTTATATGGTTGCTTTACAGTGAGTGTCTCACTGGTCTGTGTACTTAAGTATGTTTTTGTAGTGACTGGTCTTTCCTTTCTATATTTAGTGCTTCCTTCAAGAGCTCTTATAAGGCAGGTCTGGTGATGACAAATTCCCTCAGCATTTGCTTGTCTGAAAAAGATTGTATTTTTCCATCACTTATGAAGCTTAGTTTGGCCAGATATGAATTTCTTGGTTGGAATTTCTTTTCTTTAAGAATGTTGAGGCCAGGTGAGGTGGCTCCTACCTGTAATCCTAGCACTTTGGGAGGCCAAGATAGGAGGATCACTTGAGGTCGAGAGTTTGAGACCAGCCTGGCCAACATAGTAAAACCCCATCTCTACTAAAAATACAAAATTAGCCAGGCGTGGTGGCACATGCCTGTAATCCCCGTTACTTGGGAGGCTGAGGCAGGAGAATCTCTTGAACCCGGGAGGCAGAGGTTGCAGTGAGCCAAGATTGTGCTGCTGCACTCCAGCCTGGGCAACAGAGCAAGACTCTCTCA